CAGTTAGTTCAACTTCTTCCCATTGTTCCTGTTCAGGATGCACTCAATAACCTCCTTTTTTTATTCCTGGTTACAATAAAGATGCTTTAGCCATCATCAATACTGCAGTTCATAAGTGTTATGCATTCTTCTACTGCCGTCTACTGGACATTTGTGGAAAAGCAGATGACTAAAAGATGTTCTCTTTTCCTTCACAGCAAGGGTTGGAGTACCAGTCTCGATTCCAAACGAGGTAAGACCTAAGTTTTCACTTACTCATATGCCCCCTGAACAGACACAATATTTAAAAAGAGTTTTAGTTCGTCTATAAGTTATTTCTTTGTTTCCTTTCATTTGAATTATTCCTCTCTGTTTTTGTTTGAATTCAAAAATCCCACATAAATATTTTGAATTTTGATTATGGCAAGCAAAAAAGTCTTGTTTGCTTGACCTGCAGCCGGAGCAGACGAACATAGCTGATGTTTCTGAAGGTCTAGCCCAAACATAAGGTGGACGGGTGACCAAACGGCACCTAAACCCATATTGAACAAGGGAGAAACCTCTGATTGTTTAAATGGGTTTCATAAGCCTCGCAATAATAGAGTCAGTCATTTATGGTCTTTTCCCATAGATGAGAGGCATATCTACTCTCTCGAACATGCTGTAGCCATACTTTATCAATTTGAATGAACCTTTTTTTTTTTTTTTGGTATTGTACAAAGCACCTTGTGTGACATTGCTGTAAACAATAAATGAATAAAATAAGTAAATAAATAAACATTTCTAGGGCATCTATGGGGAAGAAGACCATTCCCAGCTTTTATTCCAAATTCCTTAGCATCACAAAATTTGAAGTAGGTATAGATGAAATATTTTAAATAATTTATTTTTCCATTTAAGTTTCCATTCCATTCTTGCTTTTGCTGTCCATGTGTGTCTGTCTTAAGTAGTCTTTAAGTGTCTTTTGCTCCAACTTTTATTTCTGTAGGGAAATTCTCTGTAGTTCACTTTACATCTTGCTGTACACACCATTTAGATTTGACACCCACGATGCATTTAAAACAAAAAAGTGTATGGGTCTGTCGTAAAGCATTTTCTGATTTCTGATTAGTATATATTTTAATTGTTTACATTTTACTTCTGAACAACATACATGTGACTTATAGGAAATGCAGCCCATCACTTGTTTGTAATGTGCATTAATAGAGATTAGTATTAGCAGTAACATTAAAGGGATAGTTCACCCAAAAATGAAAAAAGTTATCTTTTACTCACCCTAATGTCATTACAAAGGACTTTCTTATTTTCTTCAAACACACACACACACACAAAAAATGGAGATTGGAACTTTCTAGATTCCATTCTTGCTTTTGCTGTCCATGTGTGTCTGTCTTAAGTAGTCTTTAAGTGTCTTTTGCTCCAACTTTTATTTCTGTAGGGAAATTCTCTGTAGTTCACTTTACATCTTGCTGTACACACCATTTAGATTTGACACCCACGATGCATTTAAAACAAAAAAGTGTATGGGTCTGTCGTAAAGCATTTTCTGATTTCTGATTAGTATATATTTTAATTGTTTACATTTTACTTCTGAACCACATACATGTGACTTATAGGAAATGCAGCCCATCACTTGTTTGTAATGTGCATTAATAGAGATTAGTATTAGCAGTAACATTAAAGGGATAGTTCACCCAAAAATGAAAAAAAGTTATCTTTTACTCACCCTAATGTCATTACAAAGGACTTTCTTATTTTCTTCAAACACACACACACAAAAAAAATGGAGATTGGAACTTTCTAGGTTCAAAAAACGAACTTCCTATATTCATAAATCTCATGAACCCTGTTCAATGAATCTGACTGCTCTTGTTCTTGACTTCAGCTTTGAAGGGAAAGGTTATCAGTGCACAGTGTAAATTTCCATCTGTTTCTCACTCAAAGTTGACATAATTGGATCCAGAACACTTGCAGTAGTGCACAAGTCATATGGACTAATTTTTATTCTTGTATGGTGCTTTTGCCTGATAAGCTGCAGTCCTCATTCATTATAACTGGGGGGAAAAAAAGCTTCAGTACATTGGTTTTCCACAAAGAAAGTCACACGGGTTTGGAACGTGTGAGTAAATTATGCCAATTTTCATTTATGGGTGAACTATTCCTTGAACATCAGGGCTTTATGCTGTCTGTGCTTTAATGTGTCTGTGTCCAAAGCCAACCTGGCAGCATCTCCCTCTCTTTGTTCCACAGTGCGGAGGGCAAATTGATTTCGACAGTGTGAGAGGATAGACAAACACACAGACACCACCCTCCCCTCCGTCCACACACACTCCCCTGTCTTCCTTCATCTCTCAACAATCCATCCCCCTTCACTCCACCCTCAGAGGAAGAGGATCTAGATCCACCCTTCCCACCTTCTATTTCCCTTATTTTATCCCAGTTGGAAGCAGCCTAACGGAACCGGAATGCTGAGTATTCCATGTTGACCTTCCTCATTATACGCTTCTATCATGAGGATGTTGAACTTGCTTCAGTAAACATGTTGAATTGTTTATATGTATCTCTTGTCTGTCTTTCATGCATGTACATGTCAGCAATGTTTAAACTAAATGCATAACTTTTGCCATCCAGGGGTCCACGTATTTAAAGGAATAGTTTACATGAAAATTACAATTCTGTTGTTTACATCATTTTATTATATTATTTTCTTCTACGGGACACAAAAAGACTTATATTTATATTATGATACCTAAGCAATTTTTTTCAGTGTTTTTACATTTCATTGCTTATATTGCTGATGTAAAGGGCGTCCATGATCTCATATCTCATCTGGAGTCAATGAAGTATCTAAATGCGTCAAGTGTTGTAGAGTCTGATGTGCAGTACATTTGACCTTCCCTGTGTCTCAAGTGAAGATTGAATTGAAACAAATTCTTTAAATATAAATGACAAAAATCGGTTGTTTCTGGAATTCATGGTTCATGCATGAAAGAAAAGACAACTGGTACCTACATATCCATGTCTCATCACCAACCACGCATGAAGGTACAAGCAGTGAGAAGCTGTGTGTTAGTGATTTCACCACGGATAAGAGGTATAACCCTCCTAACCATGGTAAATCACTGTAACACATGGCAACGGGTGACTCATTGCTTGTATAAATAAAAGCAGAAAGAAATGAACAATATAGTTTTAGTCTAGGGCCAGTTACGGTTGCCAAGCAACGTCTCAACTTTATTAATGTAGAATAAAATTCATCAGATTTTAGAATCTGAACTATCCATTTTTTTTCTTTTCTGCACTGATGTTTGTGTTGCGGTCATTGCAGCGATACATCCATAATCATGATGTGCCAAGTCTTAATATAATCCATGTGATCCAGTGCCTTGTACATAGCACATAATATTTGTAAATACTATAACTTTAAATCGAATGTAGAATTGTAATCGTATTTCTGATTTTTTTTGACATGGATACATTGTTTGATTTGGTTCAACAAGATCCCTGTGGATCCCTGTACAGCTTTTTGATTCAAAACATATGTAAAAACAGCAATAACCAACTTTGATACCATCCTTTTTTGTTTAGTATCAATTTGAACATTATCTGCTATGCTTACGATACACTTACACACCACTTGTGTGAGTTTTTTAGCCTTTTTCACAGGAGTGAAAGCTGAAGTCTTTTAGTTACAGTGTTGTAATGAAAGGGAACGGATTAAATGCTTTGAAATTGCCTTTTTCATAGCAACAAAATGCTTATGATTAAGCTATAAAAGAGACGTTTCTCTGATGTGATAGAAACGTTGCTTGTCTGCTCTAGTAATTGTTTAAAGGTGCACTGCTTTACATTTTCTCTGTATTGTACTTGAAAAGTCGATTTATTGTTGTACATGAAGGTGATGCACAATTAAATAAAAAGCACCTTCATTATTACCACAAAGTATGCGTGAAGACGACAGATTGTACACTTTTACTTTTCTCCTGCTTTCCTGCACTAAAGATCCTGCCAGGTTCTTTGTGTCTGTCTGTCTCTCCTCCTGCTATTTTTTTCCCCCCCACTTTTGCTCTCTTTGTCTTTTTCTGTGTGTAACTAAACCAACGTCTTGCTGTAGCTCTGCCAACACTCTTCATCTCTGTTTTGATGAATTTAGAGACAAAAGCAGTAAGGTGTCAAGGACTGGAAGCCAGTGCCAGTGTTTCTTCTTTCTGCACTAGAGTAAAGGCCATGGTACAGCCGCCACGCTAAGAGAGAGCTCCACCTCTGTCATGATATTTATATATGTCCTTTTCTTCTGGAATGCCCACTTTTTGGATCTAAAAGGAGAGAAAGTACAATAATTGTACAGTAAAGTATATAAACTCCAATGTGCATGTATTTTGGGCGACACCAGAACAGTGTAATGTTGCTAAATGACCATGTGACTTTTTACTCTTAAAAAGATGAATAAACATTTCTTCAGATTAAAGCGGTGTAGTCATTTCTTAGCTTGATTTTATGACCTTTTTTGTCATAATTCAATTTTTTATTGATGACTTTGTAATTGTCAACAGTTTAATTCATAGGTCTCTAAATTGATCTGTAATTGTCAGCTGATGGTTTCTTTTAATCATCCCAGTCTGTGCAGTTTTTTTTAGTCGTCATAATACTCAATAAGATTGATCACTGCAGACAATCTGAAATGTAATACTATTACATTGTTCATATAGAACGCAGCTTTCACTGTTCTACTCATTTTACTCTTATTAAACATGGTCAGGATTTTTTTTTTCATTCCAAAAATTCTAATTTAAACACATTTTTATTTGATCTCATGATTTGAAGCATTTTTGAAACTCCGATATCACAATTTTGACAATCTGCTGAACTGATTCACTGTAAAAAGTTGCTGTCCTTTGGTTTGACCTTCTGTAGTTAATGATCAGCATTTTCTGAAGGTTAAGCGCTGTCTTAGTTATATATAATATATAGTAATATATATATATATATATAATCTGTAAAGTTTCGGTCTCTATTTTGTACCGTTTTCTGTGAAAGTGCATACTGCATTTTTAAGTAAAAAAAAAAAAGTATAAATATATATATATATATATATGTGTGTGATGTTATATAAGCATTTATAGTTTCTTTCATTAAATAAGGCAAATAGTCAAACTCCAGGCCTTTTTTCATTTTTTCAGTGTGGTTCCTGAATTTGAACGCTTTTGAGTGAGTAAACTATGTAGTTATATCTCCATGATCATTTATAATTTTAATGTATAGGGGAAAAAAAACGTAAAAGAAAATGGCATGCTTCTGACAGCACTGAATATCTTCATTTCAAAAGCAAATCTTCAAATAATAAAATGGGCCCAAAATTTATTTAAATGCTTAAAATTGAAATGTCATTCCATTAAATATAACAAAACAAATAGTATTTTTTATTTGTTCATTTTAAATATATAAAAAATTTGTATAAAACTTGAGAGACTTCGTGGTTGTACAATTATTCAGACCACATTTAAGTATTCAAAATACTTTTTGGGTCTCTGTATATTATGTATAGCATGTCAAACACGGTTATAACTGATTTCACTTCAGTTTCACGTTCTTTCCTCCTCAGTCTATGTGTTAAAGCTCCAGCTTTCTAAAGAATTCAATTTACATGTACAATGTCATATTTGAATGCAAAATATGATGTGATCATTTCCTGACATGCTTTCAAAATAGTGAGTCTGACATGAATCTTTTGAGCAGCCACAGGTGCATAAATGACTCCGGGAAGAGACTGAACTTGAATTACAATCAACATGTCTGATTTTATAGCACGAATAATCTCAAATGTGTATTTTCATTTCCTTATATTTCTATTCCCTCAAATATTAGGCTTCATGCATCTTTATTTTAAATGAATGCTGCATGTTTTATTTTTCAAGATTTTTGGTAATAACTTTTAAGCATGCTTAGAAACAATGGCATGTCTGTCCTTTATATGATGCTATGGTTTGTATTTTTGTTTTTTAGAGTGACGGATCCTTTCCAATTCACCACTTTTGCGCTCGCATCTCGCCAAAGACAAAGCAGTTCCAACAGCAAGCAGAAACCCAAACTCATTATAACCGAAGACCTTGGATCTCGACTCCCTTATTAGGACATCAATTTTTTAAACACATTTTTACAGGCCACATGGACTAGAGCTACTGTACAGAACCTTCTTACAGCAAATTACCCACAATCCACAGTCAAAGCAACAAAACAACCAAGCTCTGAGCTTCTGATCATTCAAGTATTGCCACTAGTTGATGATCCATATTAAGTGGATTTCTGTGTATGACTGAAATATATATATATATATATATATATAT